ATCGATCTCTTGTGACATTAGTCAAGTGTCTCAACACTAAAGGCCCAGGAGATAGCCAAACAGTATTTCCTTTTAGCTTTTCACCTGCTTTTGCTTACAGACTAAGCAAATAGGGGTGCCTTGCTCACAGGCAGTGGTTATTTAGAATAGAATAGAGTAGAGTAGAGTAGAGTAGAGTAGAGTAGAGTAGAGTAGAGTAGGGTAGGGTAGGGTAGGGTAGGGTAGGGTAGGGTAGGGTAGGGTAGGGTAGGGCAGGGCAGGGCAGAGCAGAGCAGAGCAGAGCAGAGCGGAACAGAATAACAGAGTTGGAAGGGACCTTGGAGGTCTTCTACTCTAACCCCCTGCTTAGGCAGGAAACCCTACACTACTTCAGACAAATGGTTATCCAACATCTTCTTAAAAACTTCCAGGGTTGGAGCATTAACAACTTCTGGAGGTAAGTTGTTCCACTGTCAGGAAATTTCTCCTTAGTTCTAAGTTGCTTCTCTCCTTGATTAGTTTCCACCCATTGCTTCTTGTCCTGCCCTCAGGTGCTTTGGAGAATAGCTTGACTCCGTCTTCTTTGTTGCAACCCCTGAGATAATGGAACACTGCTATCATGTCACCCCTAATCCTTCTTTTCATTAAACTAGACATATCCAGTTCCAGCAACCGTTCTTCATATGTTTTAGCCTCCAGTCCCCTAATCATCTTTGTTGCTCTTCTCTGCACTCTTACTAGAGTCTCCATTTATAGATTTAACAATCTATAAAAATTCTGGGCAGTGAACAACAATTTAATATATAATATCAACACAAATAATATAGAAACAGGAACTACTGCTACCTTTGATGGTTCACCAAATAACTCTGATAGCTAAAAGATCACTCTTGAGAAGATATATTAATTGGTCCATCCCCCATTTATTTTACAAAGAGCAAGGACCTTCAACAGGCCTCCTCTAGAAGTCTGGGCCAGATGAGCAGATTCTGTTCTTGGAACACCGGGAAGAAATGTTGAACTGATGAGTATTAACATGAAAGAATTGGTCTCATTGTGAAGATTGTAGTTCTAAGGAAAAAAACTGTGTTCCCATTTAGACTTCTCTTTCACTGCAGCTTTAGCTGTTTATTCATTCACTTCATTCCACAGAAATATTTATACAGTAATCAAAATATCTTTCTTTGTTTTTTAAAGGAGTTTGGTTTTAAAAGTATTTTATGGAGTTCAGGGTGGGGGGGTTTCAGGATAAAGTTTTTCAGATGTATTACCAAGTAGTACAGACAAGGTGCATGTTTTAAATTTTGATTGGGAGCCACCCAGAGCTTGCTATAAGATGGGTGACTATATAAATATTTTAAACGCATAAACTATTTGCTGAACAACCCAACTGTTCCAAAATGATCCACTCTAATGAGAAGCAGGAAGGATGGAGAGGTTGGGAGGCTTTATTTAGTTTGTTTTGCAGCATTATATTGCTTCAGCGCATAATTTGTAACAAAAATTAAATTGACGCGTTACAACTGTTTTAACATCATTGCTGCCCTAAGGTTTTCCGCTGCCTATTCATGAGCTACTTAGGGGCTGCATTTGTTTTTGTTTTTTTTATACTTACCAAATGATTTTGTAAAAAAAAACAAAAATAACCCTAGAATTATGTACAAGTGAAAGCAAGAAATTGTAAAATCCAACTAAGGGTATAGGACAAAGTTATTGTGGCCAGGATTAATATGCTAATGGGTCTTCCTTTGTGGACTTTGAGATTCAGTCACACTGCTAGACATCTTCTAAATTCAATAAAAGGAGCAGTGTTTACTCCTGGTTTTTCAACTTTTTTTCCCTATCAATACATGTGAACTCTGAAAAAACAAACACAATATTCAATCTTCTGTTGCTAATTATGGCTCCACAAACTTTTTAATCAAGCCACAAATTGTGTATGTTTAATATTTATTCAACTATTTTTCCAAGGAAATGGTGGGCATGTTATTAATTGAATTGTTCTTGTTTTCGTAAAAGATAGATTTTGCTGATCTATGTTTTCGCTTCCCAGATTATCAAAGTGGACTCAGAACTAATTAATTACTGTACAATGTGTTAATTCATTAACTTCCTTTAACATGTTATCATGTATTATCATCTGTAACAGTATGCAAGTGCATAAAGATGTCCCAAACAATTGTATTTACCTTATCTTGTTTTTTTAAATAATGTTCACATTATAAATTTCTCCTTAGCTTAGCTACGATATATTCTGTGAAATAAATTCACTGCCATTGTTATTTTTGTACTTTAGATTTAATCTTGCATAACTAAGAACTATTGATTAGGAGTGGGATATTACAATGCAAAGAAGCAATAGCTTTGGGATCAAATATGTAGACCACATAGCAGCTTTGTTTTTTTTAATGACTTATTTCACGTGTATATTTTTATGATTCACTAAGTAATTGCACGTTGGAGCGATGGGGAAAGGAAAAGGACAATAACGTGGAAAATTTTAGTGCTTTTTCCTAGCTCCAGTGCTTTGTTTTTCCTTCACCATCAAGGCCATTGTAGATCAAGAACTGTATACTTTTCCAAATCCAAGCTATGGTGGGCTCCCATATCACCCTTTACCTGCCTTTTCCTTGAGACAGACTTCAAAGCTTCTTCTATGGCATTTAGATGCCTTCAAGATGTGATAACTCATCATTAGATAACAGTCTTTCTGAGTCATGTCATATTGCTGAAATATTTCCCTTAAGAAACTTCCCTACCTTCCCATTGTGCTATTCCCTTAGTGTCAAGCAAAGGCAATTTAAGCTTTTTTATCTTCCTATATTTTAAACCTGTATAGTTTTACTTTAATTAAGACAGGTGTGTGTGTGAGGGGCATGGGGATATGTGCATTTACTCATGCATGTTTTTTTAACACTATTTATTCTTGTATATTTCACTGAGTGCGGCATTGTGGCCTAGAGGTGGAGTTCTTACCTCACAATCAGGAGGCTGTGAGTTTGATCCTAGATAGTGGCAAATATTTCTCACTCTGGCCACAAAGAGAAAATATTTGCGTGAGCTCCACATAGGTGTCAGGAAGGGCATCCAGCCAGTAAATGCTCAGCTCCAATCAGTCACCCAAACGCCATCCTGATGCAGGGTCATTAAAAGGGTGAAAAATGTATATTTTACTATTCTTTTAAAGTAATTTTTGTGCTGTGTTCCTGTACTTCCTGTAAATATTTATATGTACAGTATGTTATAAGATGGATCCCGCTTATGTCAGCTTTTCCAAATTAATAGATATCATAATCAGCCCATTCTTTATTTGCCATGAAAATGATGTGCGAATAACTTGAATTTATTCTTATATATTAAAAACAATTTAAATAAATTAGGTAAAATAAATACAGAGATCATAGAGATGGAGATAAAGAGATGGAGATATAATAGGAATGGATATACATTTATAAATTTTACTATGCCCATGTCCTGGAAAAAAAATAATGCAAAGAAGCGACTGCTTTGGATAGAATTTAGCCAGGATCACTCTTTTAGAAGCAAATGTGTGTGTGTGTGTGTGTGTGTGTGTGTGTGTGTGTGTGTGTGTGTGCATGCATGCATGCATGCACGCGTGTATGTATGTATATGTATATATTTTATAACCCTAGACTTCCAGGGGAAATTGGAAGTCTTTGCTCCTTCTCTATGGGATTTCTATTAGTGATAGTTAAGTCATCCATTCAAGACGGTAGTAGGCAGATTTTGCCTCTTTTACAATATTTTTCCTAAATATCGTACATTGCTGTCCTCTGTAGGAATTAGTAACAATCATTCATTTAATGTGTTCCCTGTTCTGAGTGTCCCCCATCGCATCTTGTTCCATAGAATTGTGCCAGCTTTTATTTATAGCTCACCCCTTCAGTTACATTTCATAGTTATGCTACCGCAAACTTGCCCAGCCTGACAGCTTCAGTGTGCTTTTGGAGAGCAATTGCGATCATTCATAGCAACTATATTTGCAGAGGATGATGGAAGGTTGCCAGATGGCATAAGGCTTTGGCTACCATTAAGGGACATGACATTTTCAGCATCATAAGAAGGCACCCTCTAGTCCAAAAACCTTGCAGTCCTAAGTTTATACAAAAACTTCACAGTGTGGATAAGATATGGCACAAGAGGAATGCAATAAGTAAAATCTGTAATGTATATTTTTTATATTGTTTATTTGGTGAGGACAATCACAGATCATTATTATTTATCTCACAGTTTATAAGACTTGGCATTTTTTCCTGTCTCAATTGCTCATGAACAGCAGCTGGTTTGGGTGTTTTAGATTTTTGAATTTTTAAACTATTTGTACTTTGTCAGTCAGTTCCATATCAGGACAAGTCTATGAAAATGATTCTTTAATTTATTCTCAGTTCTATACTCAAACACTGAGAATAATCATAAATCTGAATACTTAACCTTTGCTATGAATGTCTCTTCTTTCTTCCTCCTCTACTAATTCTAACCTATTAACCCAGAGAACCTGAATATACATCTCCTTTCTGAGTAAATTGAGTTCTCCGGTTATAAAATATTATTTACAACATGTCAGTTTGCATCATTAAGAATCAGTGGAATAAGGAACAGGAAACAGTTTAGTTTGCTTTAGTTTTGTCAGCTAAAGCAAATGGCATAAAGCTGTTTCTGTTGCTGACGATAATAATAGTAATAATGATAATAATAATTACAAAAGGCAGCTTTACTTGGAACAGCTTACATCCAGTAAAGATGCCTTTAACACCATAAATCAGCAATACCTGCCTGCCACAGGTCCTTCGGAAGAATTCGATTGATGAATACAAATGCCAGATCTAGTCTAAACATCTGGCTAATTGTGCGACCAACCATAATAATAATAATGACTGCCAAAATTACAATAATTAAACTTGGTCCTTTTGTATCATATGATCACAAACACCCTGCAGCAAATTCATTGAGTGACTCCTCATGAGTACCATGTGCCAATTCTATTTCATTACTTTTTGTAGCTCCATTCTGATATGGACAGGGGAGATGGATCAATCAAATATATTCTTTCGGGAGAAGGAGCAGGAATTGTTTTTACTATTGATGACACCACTGGAGATATCCATGCCATTCAGAGACTAGATCGAGAAGAAAGGTCTCAATATACTTTAAGGGCCCAAGCCTTGGACAGACGAACTGGCAGACCAATGGAACCAGAATCTGAATTTATCATCAAAATCCAAGATATCAATGATAATGAACCCAAATTCCTAGATGGGCCATATGTTGCTTCAGTTCCTGAAATGTCACCAGTGGGTAAGCAAAACTTAAAGAACATAATATGTGTTAAAACCTGCCGTAAATACAGTTGATAAATATTGGCTCTATTCCACCTCTTTGACAAAAACAATTGGGTTTGTTTGTTTGTCGTATATATCAACTTTTATTTAAGAGCTTGAGACATCGCCTCTAATATTTCCTGCTCTTATTTCAAACCACTCTTTGAGGTAGTTTGGATCCAGTGAGCTTTTGCAAGTCTCTCCACATCTAGTCCGACACCTTAGACACAACACAACCATGCAGAAGAAAGAATAAAAAACAGATGTACAATCTAGACTGTAATTTCAGGCAAGTCAGAGCACTAACCAGGAAGAAGAATGGTAGTTATAAAGACTGGCCTTTGTGGAACAAATCTAGTTTTTGTGAATGATCTGCTGAAATTTTCATGCCAGGATGACCAGCTACTTTGAGAAAAAGATCATACAGTATTGTATAGCATTAACTTCAAATCATCTCTAGAAATAAGAGTTCTGTATTCTCATTAGAAAAATTATATTGCAATATGGATATAGTCAGTGGTATATTCATTTTCATTGCACTTTGCATTAGTTGAGATATATTTTTCATCAGCTGACAATGCAGGAACCCTAATGGAGCTACAAGTAACTGTGTTTTGTGACACTGTTTTGCCTGGAGGATCAGAAAGAATACAGATATACAGATGGTTGTGCAGATATACATATGTTTGTAAAAATATTTCTGAAGGTTCCCTCCAGTTTTTCATTTTTAAATTATAAAATAATTTAAATATACATTTTAAAGCAAAAGAAATAAAGATCCACATTTAACAGAGCATTCATACCTTGTATATTGTTTCACTACAGATCACTTTTTGATGTGTAATAAATGTATGCCTGTCACTCCCATTACTGCTAATGACTCATGAGTGCAACATTCTTAAGAATCAGAAAGAGCATCTTCGTATGAGAAAGGTTGCAATTCATTGGTCCTTGTTAAATTTCCGATCTTCTCTCCCCAAATCTAACAAGGCTCTGCACTGTTTTCATCAGGCACCTCTGTTATCCAAGTGACAGCAACAGATGCTGATGATCCTACTTACGGGAACAGTGCCAGAGTAGTCTACAGTGTTCTCCAAGGACAGCCATATTTCTCTGTGGACTCCAGAACAGGTAATTTCATCCAAAATCATCCCCAAATGTGACATCCACTCTTAGCTGTTATGGCGTGTTCAGCTTGGGCTTCATCATCAAAAGCCAAATAGTCAGTAACCATGTGCCCCATCATACTTCACTAAAGCACCAAGCTCTAAAGTATTGAGCACACCGATACAAAATAATATAAGTAGTTAGGGACCAAGGGCAGATGGATACAGAATTATTAACTTGAGTAAATGCTGTATCAAACTCTAGTAGAATTACTGTAAAGTATGTGAGGAAATCAAGGTTAAAAGAAACACACACAAAATATGATTGGTATAAAAATAGAGATTTCCCACTACAAGTAATAGCTTATTATGTCTTTCAAGATGGGTGGAGACAGGCAGGTGGCAAGCAGATCATCTCTGATCATACAGATCAGAGATGAAGACCTGGGGCCTTTTTATGACTTGTGGACTTCAACTCCCAGAATTCCTGAGCCAACATGGCTCAGGAATTCTGGGAGTTGAAGTCCACAAGTCATAAAAGGACCATAGTTCCCCACCCCTGACATAGATGGAACAGCAGTGTAATACTGTTACCGGTACACTAATATCTAAAAGCAGAATTTTTTAAAAAAAGAAATTGTATCTTGCTCACCTCCAGGCTGTATTACTATAATGCACTCTAAATTAAGGTGACCAGACGTCCCGCTTTTGGCGGGACAGTCCCGCTTTTTAGCAATTTGTCCCACGTCCCGCGGCGTTTCAAAAAAGTCCCAATTTTTCATTCTGCCTCCTCAGTCCCGCTGCCTCTTGAGCCCCAGCTGATGGCTAGAAGAAAAAAAAACTGTTTAAACTCTTGCCCGGGGCTTCAAAGGGCCGCCCTACAGGCAATCAGTGTAAAGAGTTCCTGAAGCAGTTTTTTTTCCCCTAGCTAAGCTGCAGAAACGAAACCGAAACCAGGGTCTTTGGTGCAGCGTGACAAAATGAGGCAGAGAGAGATTTATTTTTATTTTTATTTTTCCTCCCCAAAAAAGGTAGGTGAAAAACTGCAAACAATGGGAAATTTAGGAGGAGAGTTCAAGATTTTAAAACACAAAAGAAAAAAAAGCTGTATTTAACTAGGGAATTGTAATAATTGAATTGAGATACTATTAATTGTATATTGTGTTGAAAGCAGAAATGTTTAAGTTGTGGTTCAGAGGAATATATGGGGGAAATTATTTGGTTTATTATTATTGGTAAATATAATTAATTGATTTGTAAGAAATTGGATTGCATGGAAATAATTGGAATATTCATGTTCATATTGATTAATATACAAAAAAGATAGTTTTATAACTAATTGATTTATATTAAAATGTTGAATTTGTATTAAACAACTGTATTACATAATTACATAATTAAACAATGTGAGGATGGATATAAAAATAGATGACAATGGAAAGGGGTATAATATAGAATAGAAGATGAAGGGTAATATTGGTTTTTTTAAAAAAATAGATGAGGAATAAATATGGCAAAAAGGAAATATAGAAATTGTAAATTTAATTGAAGTGACTAAACACTGTTTAAATTTGTGAACCGGCCAAATACTCTGTTCAAAGAAAATAAATTGTATGTTTGTATGTGTGTTTCTAATTACTGCTATTTATTCATATTTGTTCTCTTTTATTCTTTAAAGTTTAACCATTCATTCTTTATCTTAATATCTTTATATTTGTTTGGGGTTGGCTTTCTTCCCTTTCATCTTTTTTATTGTACAGCAATCTTTCTCCTCAAACCTACCACCTTTGTCTTTTCTTTCTTACTTACTTTCTCTTCCCCCCCTCTTCTTCTTCTCCCTACTTCCTCTTTCTCCTTCTCCTCCTCTCTTCCTCCCTCTCTTACCTTCACTCCTATTCTAATTTCCCTTCCCTTCCTTCATCCCTCTCTATTGCTGTATCCTTTTATGCATATGGACTACTCAGAGGGCTGAAAAGGTTATTTTTGATTGATCCTCGCACTTTTGTCCAGTCCTCAAACTTACGACTGTCCTCACATTTTACATTTTTGCCCTATCTTGTCATCATGGTGAAGAGAAGCAGTTGTGAAATGAGTGACATGATTGTTAAGAATGCTGCACGGGCATAAATGTGAGGATGGTCATAAGTGTGAGGACCAGTCAAAAGTGCGAGGACCTGTCAGAAATGATTTTTTCAGCCCTCTGGTTAGTCCTTTTGTGCATATGGACTACTCAGAGGGCTGAAAAAGTTATTTTTGACTGGTCCTCACACTTTTGACCAGTCCTCGAACTTACGACTGTCCTCACATTTTACGTTTTTGCCCTATCTTGTCACCATGGTGAAGAGAAGCAGTTGTGAAATGAGTGACATGGTTGTTAAGAATACTGCACGGGCATAAATGTGAGGATGGTCATAAGTGTGAGGACCAGTCAAAAGTGTGAGGACCTGTCAGAAATGACTTTTCAGCCCTCTGAGTAGTCCCTATACACATAGCCATGACCACCCGGTCACATGACCAGCTAGCCACGCCCACCCAGTCACATGGCCTCCAAGCCACGCCCACACAATAAGTCACGCCCACAATGGTGTCCTTTTTACTAATGTTAAAATCTGTTCACCTTACCCTATACACATAGCCATGGCCACCCGGTCACATGACCAGCTAGCCATGCCCACCCAGTCACATGACCAGCTAGCCACGCCCACAAAATAAGCCACGCCCACAATGTCCCTCTTTACCAATGTCAAAATCTGGTCACCTTACTCTAAATGAAACTGCCCGTCAACAGCTTTCAGAAGCTGCAGCTGGTTCAGAATACAGTAGCATTTCATGATGAGTCCACATAATGCCTCTGTTCCACAAGCTGCAGTAGGTTCCAGATGTCATTCAATTGGTTGTCACCTACATGATATTAGGTCAGGACACTCTTGGACAGTCATGGCTAACTTTTTCCGGATCGAGTGGCCAAGGTGCTCATGCACCTGAACCCCCAAAATGCAATGTGCGAGTGGCCCCATGCATGCGCCCTGCCCCCACACAGTCACACGCACCCACACACACACACACACACACACATTCCCTGGCCCCCGCACTGGCTGGCGGGAGGCGCGAGCGCATGCGCAGCAGAGTTGAACTGGGGCAACAGCACGTGTGCCGTCAAAGAGGGCGCTGCGTGCCACCTCTGCAACCCGTGCCATAGGTTCGCCATCACGGCTCCTGGGAATATCATTTCTGATCAACTCACCAAAATTGCAGGATTGGCATAGTTCAAGTCCCTTCGATCAAGAAATACCGTCTTGTGGAACATAAGGGTTGTGCCTTCTCTGTTGCAGCATCTGCCCTATGGAACAGCACTGTCTTCTCATCGCTTGAGAGATCAGTCTGATCTTGATCTTTCTGGCCCTTTGTAGGGCATCAAAGACCTGAATGTTTTCTTGTGCCTGGGGCTGAACGATTAAACCAGTTTATAGGTAGATTTGTTGTTTGGTCTGTATGAATTAATATTCTTAGGCCTGGGCATTTGTTATATTAGTTGTTGTTTCTGTTACTATTTTTTGTTGTTGTTGGCTTTAATCCTCTGTTTGCCATCTAAACTCACTGATGTAAAATGGGCAGCTACATAAATTCTTAAATAAAATAAAAATAAAAGCACTGGGGAATTTGTAAACCTACATTTAAATCCTATTCAACCGTGAAATAGCCAGGAGACCTTAAGGATTTCTGACTCCTGTTCTATACCCAAGAGCAACATGATTCAGTAAAAAGACCACTTGATCTTGGAAGAATTTCTCAGAGCAACCTTGCTCGTGTTTTCTTTCAGTAAAATTCCCAGAAAAGAAAACTGGTTTCCACAAACCCAGATGTTAATTAGAGATGGAAAAAATTTCAATGAACATTACCATCTTCTTGTATTCTCTAGAGCAGATTTGCCCATTCTATTGTGCTGGTCCAAATTCTGTTTCACTTGAGATACTTCTTAATTGCAGTTGGCTTAATTGTTCACCAGGTTCCAAGGGGGAAGCATTGGCATCTCTTTAAGCAGTGTGGGAGCATCATATTAAAGTTTTGAAGCATTGTTTATGTAACATCCAGTCAAAATTTCTTAAATGAATCCAACAACAATGTATTGACTTTCTAATGGCATCAAATATGCATGCGGTCCAGATCAGAAATACAATGTTTATTTAAAAAGAAATGGCATTACAAATTAATTAAATAAGTATTTGGCTTAAATCATTATGTTAAAATGCAAATGTGTGTTGCCTCTCTGAGAAGATAAGGAAAAAAAGTATGAAATGTTTCAAATAGTAATTGCCACTTAATGCTAACTTTGTAATGTTTCTTTTACATTTCCTGTTGAAAATTAAATTCTACTTCAAAAATAAACAGGATTTCCTGCTATAATCGGAAAAATTCACTGTCTTCTGAGATAATCCTTCATAGCAATTGCTTTGAGTAATCAGAAATGATATCAACAAAATCAATCCCCAGTTGATAAAAGATCATTCTTTCTTGGAAATCTTTGAAATAATTATTTGAAAAGGCAATACAGGTAGTCCTCAAATTATAACAATTTGGTTAGTGACCATTCAAAGTTACAATGGCACTGGAAAAAGTGATTTAGGACCATTTTTCACAGTTACGACCAATGCAACATCCCCATGGAATCATGATCAAAATTCAGACTATTGTCAACTGGTTCATATTTACGACCATTGCTATGTCCCAAGGTTAGGTAATCACCTTTTGTGACCTTTACCCAAGCAAAGTCAATGGGGAGCCAGATTCCCTTAACAACCGGGTTACTGACTTATCAACTGCAGTGATTCACGCAAGTGGCAAGAAAGGTCGTAAAATGGGGCAAAACTCACTTAGTAAATGTCTCACTTAATAACAGAAATCTGGAATTCGATTGTGGTCGTAAATCAAGAACTGCCTGTATTTTCAAATCAAGGCTAATTCCAGTTAATTTGACATATGATTATTAAATTGGGGTTTTTTTTTCCTGTATTATTCTCTGTGGTTTCCATAGGATTAATTAGGACAGCACTAATGAATATGGACAGAGAAGCAAAAGAATATTATGAAGTTATTATCCAAGCCAAAGACATGGGTGGACAGCTGGGAGGATTAGCCGGGACAACAACAGTCAATATTTCTCTCTCTGATGTTAATGATAATCCACCCAGATTTCCACAGAGTAAGTACTGTTCATGGTTTGTATTTTATTGTCCGCTAGCTTCCCAATGGATCTCTCAATTTGAAGGCATGCTTCAGCTGATTCATTATTTTTTTCTTGCTACCCAGAAAGCATTGGCTATAATCTGAAAATCTTTGAGATATTATATAAAGAAGAAATAGTGATTTTATTTATTTTGCATAATAAAGTCTGGTTTGTATTTATTTTGGATTTATCAGCATGTGAGGCACATCAAAAGTAACAGCAAGATAAATCCCTGAACCGAAAGCTTACAATGTAAAGTATAAGACAAAGAAGCAAAAGGCGGGAAAGAAAGAGACATACAAAGATAATGATCCTGAAAATGAAAATATGTCATGAAACATATTTAGTCTTGTAAAATAATCTGAAAAGCGTTCAGCATCTGGGGTGCTGAAAAAAGAGTTTAGCCACAGCTTGAAACAACATGGAAGCCTCTTGCTCTTTAAAATATTTACTTCCCAAATATCTGGGCAAAACATTTTGATCTGACATTATGTGAAATTGTGCATATTTTTCTAGGAAAAGGAGGTAGCATGAAACAGAAGGAATGTGGGGAAAATAGAAGGAATTGTACACACCCTGGATGAGGCAAAAGAAAAATGATGATAGATATGACAACAAGGAGTTGGGAAGAGAAGAAAAGGAAGACAGTGAAGGAAGTTAGTTTGGGAGCAGACCAATTTGCCATAGCAATAGCACTTAGACTTACTGTATATACTTCTTCATAGTGCTTTACAGCCCTCTCTAAGCTGTAAAGAGTCAGCATATTGCCCGCAACAATCTGGGTTCTTATTTTACCGATCTAAGAAGGCTGGAAGGCTGAGTCAACCCTGAGTCAGTGAGAATTGAACTGCTGAACTGCTGGCAGTCAGCAATCAGCAGAAGTAGCCTGCAATACTGCATTCTAACCACTGTGCCACCACATTTTATATCAAACCAGGGGATAAATGAACTGAAGGCACTATGAGAAGATTGTGACCCTGAAAATGGAGAAATTAGGAGCAGAACACTCCGTAGTGTAATTTCAATTGTATTACAAAATAAGACACGTGGTGGCGCAGTGGTTGGAATGCAGTATTGCAGGCTAATTCTGGTCACATTGCCAGGAGTTCAATTCTCTCAATCCTGACTGGCTCAAGGTTTGACTCAGCCTTCCATCCTTCCAAGGTCGATAAAATGAGGACCCAGATTGATGGGGGCAATATGTTGATTCTGAAAACCACTTAGAGAAAGCTGTAAAGCACTGTGAAGCAGTATCAGAGGTGGGTTTCAGCAGGTTCTGACCAGTTCTGGAGAAACAGTAGTGGAAATTTTGAGTAGTTCGGAGAACCGGTAGTAAAAATTCTGACTGGCCCCGCCCCCATCTATTCTCTCTCTCCCAAGTCCCAGCTGATCAGGAGGAAATTGGGATTTTGCAGTAACCTTCCCCTGGATTGGGGAAGGAATGGAGATTTTACAGTATACTTCCCCTGCCACGCCCACCAAGCCACACCACACCCACCAAGCCACACCCACAAAAGCAGTAGTAAAAAATTTTGAGACCCACCATTGAGCGGTATATAAGTCTAAGTGCTATTGCTATTATTGAAGAAAGTATCAGGGTTTTAAGAGGATAGTACTATAAATGACTGAGAATTAATAAAGTTTGAAAAACAAACAAAAGTGCTGAAAACATTCTAAAGAAATGGTTCTTATGACTGTTGTTGTTTTAAGCTGCTTACTTCTTTGGTGTCTATTTTCTCTGGATTCGCTAGGATAAGTCAGCTTCTCTTCTTTTAGTATCACCTGTGCCAGAAGAAAAACCAACTCCACCAGCATAGCAGTCACTTCCACGGTGACAAGTCTGCCCAAGCAGTTCCAAAGCTGTTTCAGAGCTATGCCAAATGCCTGATGCTGGGCCTAGTGAATCTTACATGGGGGCATCTGTAAGACAGGCAATGAAAACATTTCTTTTTGGGCAGCTTTGTCTTTGGGCCTAGGCTCTAAATGTGGCAGGCACCTTGGTTGCTGTAACAGGTAACCTTTGATATTTTCCACCAGCCCAGGCTAGGCTAATCCTGCCATTGTGGCAAGGAAGGGGGAACAGCATCAAAGTCCAGAACAGCTACAGGGTTCCCAGCAGTGGTGGGTTTCAAATTTTTTTACTACCGGTTCTGTGGGTGTGGCTTGGTGGGCATGGCATGACTTGGTGGGCGTGGCTTGGTGGGCGTGGCAAGGGAAGGATACTGTAAAATCTCCATTCCCTCCCCAATCCAGGGGAAGGTTACTGCAAAATCCTCATTTCCTCCCAATCAGCTGGGACTCGGGAGGCAGAGAATAGATGGGGGCGGGGCCGGTCAGAGGTGGTATTTACCAGTTCTCTGAACTACTCAAAATTTCCACTACTGGTTCTCCATAACTGATCAGAACCTGATGAAACCTACCTCTGGTTCCCAGAACCTAGTTTTACCCAGTGTTTAGGGTTTTCTAAGAAAAGGGAGGAGGTCTAGAGGCAAAAATAACAGAATTGTAAGCTAAAAAAAAATTTCTGAAAGAAAATAGCAACCAATTACCAATTAAGGAGTCTGGTAGCGCAGCAGACTAAAGCACTGTTATTAACATCAGCTGCCTGTAATTACTGCAAGTTCAAATCTCACCAGGCTCAAGGTTGACTCAGCCTTCCATCCTTTCTAAGGTAGGTAAAATGAGGACCCAGATTGTAGGGCCGATAAGCTGACTTTGTATAAAATATACAAAAGTATGAAGGCTATTGCTTAGCGCATTGTAAAGTCTCCGGAGAAGGGCGGCATATAAATCAAATCAAAAAAAAAAATTACTTCCATACTGTCAAAAAAAAAAAGCCACACAGATGTTTCCCTCTTGTAATCAAGACAGTCAAGCTCTATTTGCAGGAGACAGACCTGTATGTGTGAATGATTACACAATTGCAAACAAAAAAACCATTTATTTACCACCGTTTCGCCTTGCTATTGTAGCCCCATGGCTTATGATAATAAATGTATCTAATTTTTATTACATCATTTATTTAAATTCTCCCATTGAAGAGAGTTTTAATTTCGGAGTTTTAACTTCGTTTCCCAATTGATTTGTTGTTGGCAATCATTTTCTTTTTCTTGTTTATTTCTCCAGAACATTATCAGATGAGCGTACTGGAATCTGCGCCAGTCAGTTCCACCGTGGGTCGTGTTCTTGCTAAAGACTTGGACGAAGGTATTAATGCTGAGATGAAATACAGCTTTGTGGATGGGGATGGACTGGACGTCTTTGATATTACTACTGATCTTAATTACCAAGCTGGCATCATCACTGTGAGAAAGGTAATCCATTTTGCTTCTCTAAAGTGTGCAAACATTTTTGAACGCAGCACTCTCTGAATATATGCGGCAAATCTCTTCTGGCCAGCTATTTGATTTACTGAAGTACTGAAACACAAACACACCATTGCAAGAAATAACTCTTTTTCCATCTTGCAGATTAAGTGCTGATCAAGTGAGGCATTCTGCATGCAGGCTATTAATTTGCCAAGGGACAAACAAATTGCTTTTTTTTTCTTTCTTTTCTTTTTGCAGTAAGCTTAAGGAAGGATCTATCCATTCCCATTTTATTTATTCCACAGTCTAAGTAAAGGGCTAGATTGAAAAGTAGCAGCCTATCCATGGTCACTAAGTAAGCATTCCAGGCCAAATTTTGCTAGCTCTTCTCCAGAAAGGACATGATTAGCATCAGAAGGAATGATTAACATAATCAGGTCTTCCCTTCGGCTATGACTGTGACCAGGGTTTGCAAAGTTTCAGCAGGCTTAACAGCTAGCGATGGGACATTGATGAAAGAAATGATCCAGACTGGGAGGAACTGATACTCTTTTAACTTCTCAAATTCTTGGTTATATTCACTGTATTAAGGAATTTGCATATATATGTATACAATTTACATACAGTAGTTGTCACAGAGATGTGAATGCATGCTTACAATTTTTTTTTTTTAATTTGATTTATATGCTGCCCTTCTCCGGAGATCCAGGGCGGCTTACAATTTTCTATTAAACTTGGATCTGACATTGCTTAGTGGATGAATGTGAAAATATGGATAGAGAACAAAAATAAACTTCTTCCAAATAAGACGTTGTTTCTAAACCAGCAACTTCTGGAACTAGCAGGCATTTTGTTTTGATCAAGTTCTGTGCCAGTTAAAAGGATTCCATTTTGCTAATATTCAGCAAAGTATCCATTATGTAAAAGTAAAGAGCACATAACCACTGCATTCTTGGAAATTAAGTTACCAGCTGGAGGCCTCATAATGTTGTATAAGATCTTCACAACCTCCATTTCCACATCCACTTTTACAAAGATTCTTTGGTCATTCCTAGAACTTGCTTTGCTGTTGTGACGAGGATTTGTTTTAATTATCCTTTTACTGTTACACATAAAAAGCACAACATTACGTATCAGTGCAATACAATTATCGGTGTCATTTTCTTCTGAGGTAGAATATGCCCAACAAAAAAGCATGAACGCTCAGCGTGGAACAGAAATTGATCTGCAAAAAGAAGAGTCTAGCATGTTGCTTTTCATTTTATTCCATTTCTCTGTAATAAAGAGCTCTCTTTAAGAGTTTCAGCAATAATAATAGCAGGCTTATAAACTAACCAAACATAATATATTTGAAACTCATTAGTTTCACTGGAATGCTTAAGTGTGTGCATAACTCCATTAACATCAATGGGATTAATAGTATATAAGCACAGATGATTATAGCCATTAAAATGTAAAAATGTGCAGCCTGTACACTATACACTTCTGGTATATTCTTAATGTGATTGCTTCTACTAATCCTTTTTTAAAATAAAATCTTTATTGAATTTCAAAGTCAAACATTAAAATACAAACTAACATAAATGGGAAAAAGAATATCAAAACGAATTAAAAGTCACAAAAAAACCCACCGCAAACACATTTGCAACAAAGATAACCTCCAACTTTCTTTAAGTCTGGAGATAATAACAGTTCAATAACCTCTCTCTAAATTTAATCTAATAATACCAATATCTTAGAATACTAGTAACAAACTTTCTAAAACATCGTCAGAAAATATTCTTCTCTTAATTTTATTATATTAAAATTTAATATAAATTTAATTGTAAAATTAAAAAATGAATATACTATTATTGTCAAATAGTCTGAAAGGAGAAGGGCGGTATAGAAATTTGAATAATAATAATAATAATAATAATAATAATAATAATAATAATAAATAAAAATAAATTATTGGACAATAAATTGTCAAATGTGTGAATAACCATATATTTTAAAAAGCTACAATATTTCTCTAATCTGATTGAATCGAATCTTGAAGTCCTAGGGTCAAAAGTTGATTTTTCTCCTTGACGTGTAAGAAATCTAAGTCTCCAAGTCATTAAAAAAAAAAACTTAGTCAAATCATTGTCTCTAAGCAAAACAGTCCATTTCGCCATCTTGGCTATCTCCATTAATTTCAAAATCTATTCTTCCATTGTGGGTATATCTTTCCATCTTTGGCATGCAGCAACATTGCTGCCAATATAATATATAAAAACAAAGTCCCATGTTTTCTTTCCAAATGATTACATCCCTAAAAGAAAATCTTCTGGTTTCAATTCTACATCTATTTTCAAAATTTTCTGAATCCACATAAATTGATTCCAAACTTTATAAGCTTTCCTACATGTCCACCAAAGATGATAAAACATTATTTTCTAAATTCTAGTCCTGGTAGAATAGTTATTTTATTGTGTTTAACCCAGGGTTGAAATTCAAAATTTTTCCCTAACGGTTCTGTGGGAGTGGCTTGGTGGGCATGGCAGGGAAGAATATTGCAAAATCTCGATCCCCATCTCACTCTGGGGCCAGCCAGAGGTGGTATTTACTGATTCTTCGAACTACTCAAAATTTCCGCTACCAGTTCTCCAGAACCTGTTAGAACCTGCTGGATTTCACCCCTGGTTTAACCAGTGTGGTTCATCAGAACTGTACCTGGCTTGCTTTTGAGCAGGGATTTACCAAAACCCATGCCATTATTTTTTCATTAATAGAATGGGAAGAACTAGAGATTCCAAAACATTTAAATGACAGAGTGAAACAGCTCTCTCCAACACCATGTATGAATAAGCTTAGACAGCTCCACAATATAGATTGAAGTAGAAATTCAATTGGAATGCTTTTTTTTTAAACAATATTGATAATAGGAGGAAAAGGTTCATTTCAGTTGCAGAGATTGCTTTATGATTTGTCTTCTATTTCTTCCTCTCTTTTTTTCAGCCACTGAGCTTTGAGACCAAGAAAAGTTACACTTTAAAAGTAGAAGGGGCCAATCCACACCTTGAAATGCGTTTCTTGAATCTAGGTCCGTTCCGTGACACGACAACTGTGCATATCAGTGTGGAAGATGTTGATGAGCCACCAGTTTTTGAGCCTAGTTTTTATTTTGTGGAAGTGCCTGAAGATGTGGACATTGGGACCACCATACAAATGATAAACGCCAAGGACCCTGATGTGATCAACAATTCAATCAGGTTTTATTTTATTTTTTCCCCTAATCATTCAAATTGTCTATGACAGAGTTCATATCATTGACCAGGGGTCCCCAAACTTGGCAGCTTTAAGACTTGTGGACTTCAACTCCAGCATAGCTGGCTAGAGAATTCTGGGAGTTGAAGTCCACAAGTCTTAAAGCTGCCAGGTTTGGGGTCCCCTAGTCTATGATATGAACTCCTTGAATTCGCAGTTTGCTTGACTAATAGGCATTCACAATGACAAATGGAATATGATATCGAATTGTATATTTTTCTATTGCTTGGGGTCAGTTTATTGAGCAAAATCATCATCCTATTATTCATTCAAATCCTAATGAACATTTATTCAGACTTGTGTCTTTCCAATACATGAAAGCTAATCTACTACCATTGTTGTATAGATATCATGGAACTTGTAGACCACTATGGAATATCAAAGAGATTTTATATGATGAAAACATAGTTTGTGCAATCAGTATTCTAGTTGATTGCATAGTTTGTGCAATCCATCTCTTGTCATGTCATTGATGGGCAAACATAGTATGTAGCCTTGTGTGGCTATCACCAGGCTATCCCAAAGGATACAAATGTACAAATCCCTAGAAAAGGGAAGAGTGAGAAATTAGAAAAAAGTATATTACTGATATTTGGAAATGGGTAACCAATCTTTTCTGGAAAAAGGCAATATTTTTACAAATTAAACAACAAAGCAATATTTTCTTCTTTGGCAGATATATTATGTCATTTTACAACAATCTTTTGTAGCTGATTATGTTAAACTGTTATATGGTATTTATTAGCAAACTAGGGATTATATATAAATTTAATAGAGAAACCTTCTATATACAATTTGATGCATGGTCACTTCCATGCAATCAGATATCCTTCCATAACAGGATCTTTGTTATGTGGATATCAACAATAAAGTTGAACATGCAGTTGTCTACATGTCAACAGGGGAAGAGACATCCAGGGTGATCATATATTTTATAAGGCCTGTTTGCATGTGTGTGTCGGCCGGTGAGACGTCTGAGGTGGCCCGGGAGTTCATGGCTTCCATGACGGCCTTGGACCTGACACAACTAATTCATGGCCCTACTCACACGGGAGGACACACTCTGGACTTAGTTTTTGTCTCTGGTCAGTGGTTGAATGGCCAGGTTATAGGGGATATAGCTATTGAGCCCCTGTCATGGTCGGACCATTCTCTCCTGAGGCTGGACTTTCTAACCGCTGCACCCCACCGCAGGGAGGTGGAACCGATTAGGTGGTTCCGCCCCAGGTGCCTGATGGATCCGGAGAGATTCCAGAGGGATTCTCTTGGGCCATTTCCTGAGGCTTTGGCTCACAGCTCGACTGAAGATCTGGTGGCCGCCTGGGATAGGATGCCCGCCGGGGCTTTGGATCGTGTCGTGCCTTTGCGGCCTCTGGTTCGGCGTCGCACCTGCCCAGCTCCCTGGTTCACCGAGGAGCTGAGGGGGATGAAACGCCGGAAAAGACGCCTAGAGAGTGGTTGGAGGACCAGTCGCTACGAATCTGACCGAACACTAATTAGGTCTCATATTAAGACCTATTTAGTGGCGATAAAAGCGGCAAAGTGTGATTACTTTTCCGCTCTTATTGCATCGGCAGATAACCGCCCAGCCGCCTTGTTTAGAGTGACCCGCTCCCTCCTCCATCAGGGAGCGCGGGAGGACCCCTTGCAAAGGCAGGCTGAGGATTTTGCACAGTATCTGCATGATAAAATCACTCAGATTCGTGAAGGCTTGGACTCTGACTGTGTAGATTCCGGCGGGGTGGCTGAGGCGGGTCTTGAGAATGTTATCTGGGATGAGTTCAATCCTGTGACTCCTGAGGATGTGGACAGGATTCTGGGGAGGTTAAACGCAACCACATGTTTACTGGACCCGTGTCCCTCCTGGCTGGTACTGGCTACCCAGGAGGTTATGCGAGGCTGGCTCCAGAGGATTATAAATGCTTCTTTGGGGGAGGGTTTCCTGCCGCCTGCTTTGAAAGAGGCGGTGGTGAGGCCCCTCCTTAAGAAGCCTTCTCTGGATCCGGCTGTTATGGCTAACTACCGTCCTGTCTCCAACCTTCGCTTTATTGCGAAGGTTGTTGAGAGTGTGGTTGCGCAACAGCTCCCGCAGTACCTGGATGAAACCGTCTATCTAGACCCGTGCCAGTCCGGCTTCAGGCCTGGGTACAGCACGGAAACGGCATTGGTTGCGTTGGTTGATGATCTCTGGAGGGCTCGGGACAGGGGTTGCTCCTCTGTTCTGGTCCTATTAGATCTCTCAGCAGCTTTTGATACCATTGCGGTGGTTCTCCTCCTATCTCTCCGACCGGTTGCAGTCTGTGTTGGCAGGGGGGCAGAGGTCGACCTCGAGGCGCCTTGTTTGTGGGGTGCCACAAGGGTCGGTCCTCTCGCCACTCCTGTTCAACATTTATGTGAAGCCGCTGGGTAAGATCATCCGTGGATTTGGGGTGCGATGCCATCTGTATGCTGATGACACTCAGCTGTACCTCTCCAGCCCAAACCACCCCAACGATGCCCTTGAAGTGATGTCCCAGTGTCTGGAGGCTGTGCGGGTCTGGATGGGGAGGAACAGGCTTCGACTCAACCCTTCCAAGACCGAGTGGCTGTGGATGCCGGCATCCCGATATAGCCAGCTGGTGCCATCACTGGCTATTGGGGGCGAGTCATTGACCCCCACAGAGGGGGCTCGCAACTTGGGTGTCCTCCTGGACACACGGCTGTCTTTAGAAGAGCATATGATGGCCGTGGCCAGGGGGGCTTTTTATCAGGTTCGCCTGATATGCCAGTTGCGCCCCTTTCTGAGTCGGGATTCCTTATGTACAGTCATGCTCATCATGCTCTCATCACTTCTCGCCTGGACTACGCTAACGCTCTCTACATGGGGCTCCCCTTGAGGAGCACCCGGAGGCTCCAATTGGTCCAGAATGCGGCCGCACGGGTGATCACAGGAGCAACATGGCGCTCCCATATAACACCTCTCCTGCGCGAGCTGCACTGGCTCCTGGTGGTCTTCCGAGTGTGCTTCAGGGTGTTGGTTCTCACCTTTAAAGTGCTCCATGGCTTAGGAACAGGGTATTTATGAGACCGCCTGCTGCTACCGATAACCTCCCACCAGCCAATACACTCTCACAGAGAGGGCCTCCTCAGGGTGCCGTCGGTCAAGCAATGTCGGCTGGCGGCCCCCAGGGGGAGGGCCTTCTCTGTGGGAGCACCTGCCCTCTGGAACGAGCTACCTCCTGGAATACGGCTGATTCCGGATCTCCGCACTTTCTGTAAGGCCCTGAAGACGTTTTTATTTCAGCAAGCCGGCCTGGCCTGAATAGGTTTTAGGGGTTTTTAATTGTATTGCTAGGGGTTTTAAATTGGGGTGGCCGTTTAATTTAATTTATTCTTAATTATTTTAACTTTTATATTGCATGTCATTTTAATTCTCGGCTGTTCACCGCCCTGAGTCCCTTCGGGGAGAAGGGCGGGATATAAATTTAATAAATAAATAAATAAATAAATAAATAAATAAATAAATAAATAAATATGATGATGATGATGATGATGATGATGATGATGATGATGATGATAATAATAAATTCCAGATCTAGAATATATTACTATAAAAACTCCAGAAGATTCAGATGTTTCTTTTTGGTATCCTTTAATTAAAAAGGATACCAAAGGATACTCACGGGGAGGGCCTTCTCTTGGCTGCCCCGGCTCTGTGGAACCAATTACCCCCTGAGGTCTGGACTGCCCCCACCCTACTGGCCTTCCAGAAAGTGGTGAAGACCTGGCTCTTCCGGTAGGCCTGGGGCCATTGATCTCTCTACGGTGATCTTGCGAGACCCTGCCACGAATTGGAGTGTATGGGTTTTCATGTTTTCTTTTTAAACTTTTGTATGGGATATTGTTCGCATTGTTTTATTCTTTGTTGTTAGCCGCCCAGAGTCCCTCGGGAGTTGGGCAGCATAAAAATGTGACTAATAAATAAATAAATAAATAAATAAAATATCAACTTTTAGAATGAAAAAGAGGGGTATGTTATGATTGTAGGAATTATAGGGATTGAATTTGCAAGAGAAGATTAAAAACTGATCTTGAAAGATAGAGTAGATTTACATGAAAAAAGATGATTTGTTAGCCCAGTCCCAAACCATTTAAGACAGTAAAAACAATGAACTACATACTAAAGACAAACTGGCAATGGAAGTAGAAAGTAGATGTTACGTGATCCCAGTAGAAGGGATTCTACATTTTACAGTATGTGTGTTTGTACAATTAAGTCTCAATTAATGTGGTTAATGAATCCCACAAAATGGTCACATTATTTGAATCCTGACTAATCAAAGCAATATTTCTGTGGAAAATGAGGTAATTGGTTCCAGCTCAGTGGAAATAGACAATTAAAATTTTTAAACATACATTTTGATATATTTATTAATCCTATATACCACTAAAAAAAGAATAAATCCGTATCCAAAGAGTACCCGCTGATTCCTACATTCTGCTATAGTTCTTCAAAATTAGCCTCCTCTTTTTTCAACCTTGCTTTCCTCCATTTGCACAAACAATGATTTGCATCCCAAACCCAAATTGCAACTGCACATGTGCTAGCCACACCTCTGCCTGTGCTAGCCTTACACTAACTGAATTTTGGCTCTTATTAAATATGACCCATTATCAACTTATAAATCACACTGAAATGAATTTTGCACTATTTGAACTCACATTACTCACAACCTACCTTTCTCTAAAAATTATTCAAAAGGATACGTACACACTCTACAGATTTATCACAAGATAGACTTTGGCCTAAATACTGAAACACTCTATAATCAAATCTGTGAGATGAATAATGTTTCCTTATGATTTATTGGAAAGTACTGAGCCAGAGAGGGAGCATAGGAGAAGGATTCTGTTAACATAACTTTACAATAAGGTTAGAGCTATACTTCATGTCTGGAATAGCTTGCAAGGCTGTCAACAATCTTGCAAGGCTGAAAGTACATCTCTGTCCCCTTGCCTTGCCAAGAAACTAGGGAGGGTCCTTTCTGAGATGTTTCCTATTGTCCCGTTCCTTCAGTTGACTCAGATCAGGGATGAAATCCAGCAGGTTCTGACAAGTTCTGGAGAACCGGTAGCAGAAATTTTGAGCAGTTCGGAGAACCAGTAGCGGAAATTTTGAGTAGTTCATAGAACCAGCAAATACCACCTCTGGCTGGCCCCAGAATGGGGTGGGAATGGAGATTTTCTCCTGCCACTCCCTTCAAGTCATACCCATCAAGCCACACCACGCCCACCAAGCCATACCCACAGAACCAGTAGTAAAAAAATTTGGATTTCACCACTGACTCAGATGCCACCTGTCTCACCATTGCTTAATCTGCTGCTCTTCCTTTTCTCTCCCAAGATCATTCTCACATACCATTATACAAAATCTGCTTGCAGATATCTTATCTTCTTATCTATTTAGCAGTCTGAACCTACTTTAAATGCTGATAGGTAAAAAATATTGAGCTCCGTACAAACTGAAATAAATAGCAGCAACCTTAGAGGCAACACCATGATATTTTATATTGCTTCCTACATTCAGAGTAAATGATGTACTTTACAAAGTAATACCATATAAAGTCAGGAAGTCAATTCAACTTAAATTCCATAATCCATTCATTTAAAAGCAATGGGGCCAAGATGGCTCATTCAGAACCATTTTTATTGAGCTAGCCTTCCTTAAAGAATCTGGGGAAGAAATGATGCCATGCACAAAATGTTACTAATTCAAAAAAAAAAAAAGTGTTTAGAAGACAAAGTGAGAAAGAAGTTTCTTGGATGAATAGTCTCCTGAAATTACTTTGTCCCCAACAGTGACAAGCTTTTCTTGATGACAGTCAGCTAAGCAGAGAATTAATTTAGAATTGTAAAGATCTTGGATACAGTCCAGCCAAAGTTAAAACTTGTTTAATTTCATTGGCACTCAATGGAATAAATGTAAGAAATGTGTTCTCACTTTAAACTTTGGCTCAATTGTGCTCTTATATCTCAAAACAGTAAACTAACATTCTAGTCAAAAAGTTGTGCTTATTTCATATTACCTGAATTTTTCGGAGTATAAGACGCACTTTTTTCCCTCCTAAAAGAGGCTGAAAATTTGGGTGTGTCTTATACTCCAAATGTAGCTTTTTCGAAGCTTTCTTTCAGCCCTAAGGAGGTGCTAGATCTACCTCCAACTCTCCACTGTGCTTAAGAAGCTTTTTTTCAGTGAAGCGATCTTCCCCCGCTCCCTCCAACTCTCAGCTGTGAAGCTTTTTTTCAGCTCTAATGAGGCACCAGCGAGTGAAGCGATCTCTGTGGTTTGCCTGCTTTTCTCATTGCTTCTCTCTCCAAAGATCAGTTGTGCTTTAGAAGCTGCTTTTTATCCCCAAGCAGGGGATAAAAACCAGCAAACTAATGTGCTGAAGCTGACCAGATTAAGGACGCTAGCCAGATGAATACCTGGTAGGCAGATTTTTTTTTCCTATTTTCCTCCCCAAAAACTAAGCTGCGTCTTATACTCTGGTGCGTCTTATACTCCGAAAAATAAGGTACATTCTACAACTCTGCAATCCATTGAAATTCCAAGATATAACACTTAAAATCAAAGATTCACAAATGTAATGGATTATTTTTTAAAGAAGCTACATTTTACTGAAAATAAAATATGAATGCTACTGCATTCTGTTTTCAGTTATTATAAAAATCTTTCACTATTGGAATGGCAAAAGCTATACTTTTCCCATTAAAAAGGGACATGATGCATTTAGAGAGTTTCATCTAATTACCTTGCCTCATTCTAAAGATGGTCATTTATTTTGAATATTCCATTTTATGAATGTTTATTCATAAAATGTTTATTGAATGTTTATTCTGAATGTTTATTCAGGAGTAAATTCAATTTTATTGAGTAGGGTTTATTGGGGATGAGTTATCCTCTAATATAGATTTTTTAATTTATGTTTATTTATTTTATTTATAGCTCATCTTTATTATTTTGATAAATAACCCTAATCTAATAACTAATACGTAATACTCCTCGTCCCTCCTCCTATTTTCCCTATAACAACAACACTATGAGGTGAGTTAGGTGTGACTAGCTCAAAGTCACCCAGCTGGGTTTCATGCCTAAGGAAGAACTAGTTTTCTCAGTCTCCTGGTTTCTAGCATGGTGCCTTAACCAGGACACCAAAATGGATTTAGAAGCTGATGGCAGATGGTTTCCCTTGGGATTGACATGGCATAATATGGAATTTTTTGTATCGGGGAGTTAAAATAATTTCCAATTCCTTGATTCTGTAATTACTGTACATTCAGTCTTTTCAGGATTATGCAACAGCTATTTTATGCATCTTGATTCTGAAATATGCTCAGAGGAGTTTGTTAGGGAATGGACTTTCATGTTTTACACTTTTAATGAAAACTTAAATGACTGCTTTTTGAGTACACTGTAGAATTTGGTTTTGGTATCAGCAGATGCACTGATGACTATTCGTGCACAACTGTATGATTTTGAAACTGCAACCCTATGCAGACTCTTAACTGAAACTATGTCATACTGAAACTATCGGTGCTTATTTTGTAGAAACATTGTGGAATTGTATTGCATGAATAAGATTTCACTTTTACTGCCCTGAGTAAATTCATGAATATTTAGAAGCAAGTCCCACTGTGATTGGTGTGGTTACTTCATTAGCATGTTTGCATACTGTACTAAATAATGCTTTTTTTCTGCCCTAGACACACTATGAATATTAACTACTTTTCATGTCTCCAAAGGTCAATTACCAAACAAAGAAAGATATCTAATTCTTCCTAATGTTACCAACTGCTAATTCTGCTCATCTTAATTGTTTTCCATTGTCCTAAATTCTAAAAAAAAAAGAGCAATGCCTCTTATTCTTTCATAAAGAGAGTCTAAGAAATAGTCAATAATTTTATATTTCTTAATTTAATATGGATGTTAACTTTTTTACCCTTTTTAAAATTTAATAACTAGAATTAAACACTTTTCCTTCTTTAGTGCAACCAGCAAAGCACATATATGTCTTTCTTTGCTAAAGGAGATGAAAAAGTAGAGTCTAAAGTGAACTAGCCTAATTTCTTCTACTCCTACTGCACAAGTCAATGTTAAAAGATTTTTCAGGAATTAGGTGATTGAGCCAGTAAACTACGCATATAAATTAGCATCTGAACTGAATTACTGTTAAGTCCACAGAGCTAAAAAAAAAAAAAAAATGTGATGAAACTGAATTACACCTCAATTTGTAATGGCATGTTCTAACTACAACATATTTTTTTTTAAATGTGAACTTCTACAGATACTCCATTGATCGAAGCAGTGATCCTGGACGCTTTTTTTATGTGGACATTATAACAGGTGCTCTGATGACTGCAAGACCTCTGGATCGGGAAGACATTTCATGGCACAATATCAGTGTGTTAGGTGTAGAAATGAGTAAGGCAATCAAATTATTATTTATTTAAATTTATTGCCCGCCCCCAACTCCAAAGAACTCTGTGTCTGCGTGTGTCTGTGTGTGTATTTCTGTTTAGCAAGGCTATATCACTGTATATCACTGGAGGCTTTCAAGAAGGGAAATGGTACAGACTCTCCTGATCAAGCAGGGGGTTGTACTAGATGACTTCCAAAGTCCCTTCCAACTGTATGTTTTAAGGCATAGGTGTCAAACTGTTGTGGCCCGCCAGCAGAGATGGCGGCAGACTCAGACAGTGAGGAGGTTGGGGAGGAACACGAGCCAGTCCTGGAGTCTGATGAATGCTCTGAGTCAGAGGCAGAGATGGGGCCAGGGCCAGCTGACAGTTATCAGCTACCTTCTGAGTCAGAGATAAGTGGGGTTCAGGGGTGGGTTCTAAAAATTTTTCCAACGGTTCTGTTGGCATGGCTTATTTTGTGGGTGTGGTTTGATGGTCATGTGACAATTCTTTAGGATTTAGCAGAGGTACTGGTCTACCAGGCTTTTAACTGCTTGCAGAGCTGTACCGGTCTACACATTTGTTCTTGGAACGTTCCAGTCTACCCATTTGTTTTTGGAGGCACCGATCTACCCATTTGTTTTTGGAGGCACCGATCTACCCATTTGTTTTTGGAGCATTCTGGTCTACCTATTTGTTTTTCAAGCGCACTGGTCTACCACTAGACTGCCTTTTAACACTGATCAGCTGTAGGGCGGCCCTTTGAAGCCCCGTGGCAAGAGTTTAAACAGTTTTTTTCCTTCTAGTCGATCAGCTGGGACTCGGGAGGCAGCGAAAAGATTGGGGGCAGGGCCAAATAAAAGGTAAGAATAACGCAGGGGGAGAGGAGGGCCTAGCTCCTGAACAAAGAGAACCGGTTCAGTGATGTCATATCATCACCGCTACTGGCTCGGCCAAACCGGGAGGAACCCACCACTGGTGGGGCTGAAGAACAGCTGGAGCCTGTTCCCGATGTGCGCATGTGCAGAGCTGCGAGGAGAAGGGAACAGTTAAGGAACAAGGGCCGACTCAGGAGTAAAAGCACAGGTGGACAGTGAATGGGCCCTCCCATAGGGAATAAAGAGGAGCGAAAGGGGAATGGAGTTTGCAGGAGACAATTGCAGGAGTTCATTTCATTAATGTGAAGATCTATTCGTGACTCTCAGAGACTCCTTGCCAAGTATTTTCTTGTACAGCATTGCGTTGGAAGATATCGGCCTGGAAGCTCTCCAAGCTTGATAAGGTCTGTGGTTGTAAATTCACCCTTGAAAGACTGTTTGCTGGGACTTTGCTGGATGTGAATGAGAGAAATTCACATTAGCTTAATAAAAAGGGGTTTTGTCGAGACAAGGAGTCTGCTTCATGCTTTTGTGAAGCCTAGGTCAGAACACAAACTGGCAGCGTCACATGATGTATTGTGACATTTTTCCTCTTCGCGGAGCTGGGGTGGGCGTGGCCTGCACGTGACACATCCAGCCAATGGAGCCACTAGTTTGACACTCCTATTCTAAGATTATACAATTCTTTACCTTTCTGGAAGGAAAACAAGTATGTTTATGCTCATAGTAGAAGAAAGAAAAGAAACAAGGAAAAACAGAATCATTTTTTAAAAAAATTGATTTATATGCCGCCCTTCTCCGAAGACTCAGGGCGGCTTACAATGCATTAAGCAATAGCCTTCATACTTTTGTATATTTTATACAAAGTCAGCTTATTGCCCCCACAATCTGGGTCCTCATTTTACCTACCTTAGAAAGGATGGAAGGCTGATGAGCCTGGTGAGATTTGAACTTGCAGTAATTGCAGGCAGCTGATGTTAATAACAGTGCTTTAGTCTGCTGCGCTACCAGGGCTCTTGTACCATTTCCCTTTTGCATTTCTAAAGAAAGCTCCAATGTATATATGTTCGCTACAACATGACACCAACAAGTCTGAACAGCACCATATTTGAGCCATGTCTCTGGGATATAGCTTTGATCTTCTTCACAGCTATTAAGTAACACAGTCATCCTTATCTGTTCCAGTATTAAAGTAGCAGCGCTTCAATTTTGTTTTCCTCCCTAATTCCAAACTTTGTCCAAGGGCAATGTCAAGATATAGAAAATCTGTTAGGCTTTGTCACACATTATCCTAGAGAAAAGTCACTAGCAATGATACAACTGGGAAAGTAGCAATGCAGGCAGAAGAGGGATCAACAAAGGAGACATCACATATTATACCAAGCAGGAATGCATAGTACTTCTATTCAGCAGTGATGAAAGCCAAGCTTCAGGCTTGTATCTGCCAACTCCTGTTCTCTTTCCCCTGGAGTGTCCTTGCCTCCCTAAAGCACAGTGAAAAGATATATTTGAGCTAACCTTAACTACAGTTAACCTGGGCTCAGTGGTGAAATCCAAATTTTTTTACTATTGGTTCTGTGGGCGTGGCTTGGTGGGCGTCCTTGGTAGGAAGGATACTGCAAAATCCCCATTCCCTCCCCACTCCTGGGGGAAGGATACTGCAAAATCTCCATTCCCACCAGGGCTGGGTTCTACTTACCTTTACTACCGGTTTGCAATGGGGCCGTGTGCAAGCGCAGACGCTTCTGCACATGCACAGAAGCATTTTGATGATGTCAGGGTCGGTGGGCGGAGCCTCCTGCTAGTTTTACTACCTGTTCTATAGAACCAGTGCGAACCGGGGGCAACCCACCACTGATTCCTACCCCACTCCAGGGGAAGCATACTGCAAAATCCCCATTCCCTCCCCACTCCTGGGGGAAGGATATTGTAAAATGTCCATTCCCACCCCACTCTGGGGCCAGCCAGAGGTGGTATTTGCTGGTTCTCCGAACTACTCAAAATTTCCGCTATTTATTCTCCAAACTACTCAAAATTTCCGCTACTGGTTCTCCAAAACCTGTCAGAACTGCTAGATTTCACCCCTGCCTGGGCTCCATTTGATCAGGATTTAAAACCAGCCTCCCAATTCCATCTTTTGATCATTCAACTGCAATTAAAAAGCCAGTGCATATTTATAAAACCCATGTGTATATATGCAAATAATGAAGTTAGAATTTAATCTGTATACCCCTGGGAGCAGTATGAAGTATGGTTACTCATATAGTTAACATTCAAGGGAATTATGGTGTAAGGAAGATTTTGATGTTTGTCTGAAATACAGTTCAGATAAGAGCTACCTATACATCAGGGGTGAAATGCTCCCGGTTCGGTCCGGATCGCCTGATCCAGTAGCAATGGCGGCGGGTGGTTTGGAGAACCAGTAGCAAAAATCCCTGCCCCCCCCCCCCATGCCCAGCTGAGCTGCACAATCATCAGAGCCTTTTTTTTTAACTTTTAAAAGCATTTTTTCTACAACCTCTTCAGCCGAAAAAATGCTTTTAAAAGAAAAAAAAAAACCTCTGATGATCATCCGGCTCAGCTGGGATCATCAGAGGCTTTTAAAAGCATTTTTTTCTGCAACCTTGGCCACGACCACCCAGTCACATTACCCACCACCACCAAGCCATGCCCACAGAATCGGTAATAACAAATTTTACATTTCACCACTGCTATACAGTCTCTCTCCAAGAACTATTAGTTGCAGAACAGGGGCTCTAAATATTACAAAGTTTATCATAGTAGAAAAAAAATATCAAAGAAGATTAGCTGACTCAGGGGATTGCTAATAAATTCAACCTCTGATTGTTTGTTTTAATTGTCCTACAAAGTGCTTTTAAAAATAAATAATAAATAAACCTAATTTGGGACAGAAAAAGCTACTTGCTTGGATCTCAGATACTTTCCAAAGTTTTGGTTCATTTCTGCTTTAGAATTAGAGCAATATTTCTGAAAACATTTCTCTCATGAGTGGAATTGGATATCAAATCAAATCACCAAATTAAAACAACTTACTCTGAGCTTAGTTCTCATTTTGCTATACTGTGGAATTCACTGTCAAACATGATATCACTATGCTGTGAGTTGTACAACTGCTCCCCAGCTTAGTACTAGTGATTTAACAGCTGATACCATCCTCAGTGGACACAGAAAATGTCATTAAAATATGGATGCTTTAGTTCCTGCTGATTTATTGCCTACTTGCCCATGAGATACCATCACATTTTGAGAAGAAAAATTATTATATGAATTATTATATTACATCACATGGTGAATATTGTATAGAAAAAAAATCCCACTGTTAAAATACTTAGGCTGTTAAAACTCTTTAGTATTATCTTTTTGTGTACAAAAAGCTGATGATAAGCTTCTGGCCAGCAAGGATTATGTTGAAGTATCCCATTTAGATATTAACACCTTCATGTGGAAAATATATAGTAAACTATTTTAATTTGTACAATTCAAGAAAAATATTTAAACTATTTTGACATCAAATTAGTACCCCACATAGAAGTAATAGGTTTGAAAAGTTGCAATTCTTCTAATTTATTATTATTATGATTGGTTGCATAGCCAGCTAGATGTTTAGACTTGGCTTTTTTATCCACCTATTGAGTCCTTCCCAAGGATCTGTCATTAATATTGTTAATGTATTGGTCACCCAACTCCAGTTATTATTCTGTTTATGTAGCTTTTCCATGTAGCTTTGCATGCTTTCTTGGATACTACATTCCAAAAGACAAGTTTCTTTGTGCATATTTGTGCAGTTGAAACTGATGAGTATTAGGAATGGTTCATTCCTACTAATCTGTGTTATGTAAAATCCTTGTTGATAAATTCTACCACTTGTTCCCATTGTGTATATGACTATCACTACCTTGGCACAGTCCTATTACCACAAGGGCAAATCACAAACTGCCCAACATATATAAAGTTATATTAGTTTTAGAATAAATGTTTTTTTTAAAAAAAAAATAATCTAAAAATATTTGAAATAGCACATATGTGCTAGTTGTTCACGACTCTAGGGGGCGGTGCTCATCTCCGTTTCAAAGCCCAAGAGTGGAATCCAGAAGAGTGGAGGCCATCTTCACCTCTGGGAGCAACATGTTGCGTAGATCAGGGGCAATAACAGAGAAAGCTGTCTTAGATACCATCAGTCAAAAGTCATAATACAGTAAAATAGTATCTACTATATCTGGGCACTGCATTCTCCAGAGATCTTTCATGCAATTCAGGATTAATTTATGCTCAGGCAGAACACCTCTGATATTCATTCACTCTTATCTCTTTTCAGACAATCCTTCACAAGTTGGCAGTGTTTCAGTAACCATAAGAGTCCTGGATGTAAATGACAACGTACCAGAATTTCCCAGGTTCTATGAGGCATTTGTCTGTGAAAATGCAAAAGTTGGACAGGTGAGAAGCTGAAACGGTATTTTATATTTAAAACTGGTAACATTGTCTATGACCTTTATCCCCAACCTAATATTGTATAGACATGAGCTGCATTATCAGAAACTTCTGAAGTAGATTTCAAAGGGTACAGTAGCTTATAAGTGCAAGCAGTGGTAAAATCCAAATTTTTTTAATACCGGTTCTGTGGGTGTTGCTTGGTGGGCATGGCTTGGTGGATATGGCAGGGGAAGGATATTACAAAATCTCCATTCCCAACCCACTCCAGGGGAAGGATACTGCAAAATCCCCATTCCCCCCACTCCTAGGGGAAGGATATTGCAAAATCTCCATTCCCACCCCACTCTGGGGCCAGCCAGAGGTGATATTTGCCCGTTCCCCAAATTACTCAAAATTTCCGCTAGTTCGGAGAACCGAAGTACTGGTTCTCCGAACTGCTCAAAATTTCCGCTACCGGTTCTCCAGAACCTGTCAGAACCTGCTGGATTTCACCCCTGAGTGCAAGGAATGAGAATATTGCTAAGTATGAGCACAAGTTTGTCCCTTTCCATTACAATTTCAGTAGAATATAATACTATGTAATTTAGTATTTAATTATCTAATTTAAATATTAAATTAAATCCACTGCAATATTTAAAAGGGCAGCAAAGCAGCAGTAAAATTAATTTCTTATTATATCCTCCAAACTGTGGCAAAGGAAGCAGAAATGTTAAAATATATATTTTATAGCTAGAATACACAAAAAAGGGAGGAAGAATCTGGATAAAACACACGCAATAGATATGTAAAAGTAACGCTGCCTTTAAATAGATTTACATCTTGTTTGAAAGAAATCATATTGATCAGTCTTTCCATGGTCTCAATGAAGAGACATTTCTAAAGGTTGAGTAGATACATTTTGTTAAAGGATTTTAAATCTAGGGCAGCTATTTCTTTCCAATAGCATATTATCGTCAAGCTGCAGACTAAATGTGACAGATGATTAGAAGTTTGGATCCTTGCTAAACACCTGACCTGCCCTCTAACCCAGGTGTGTCAAACTCAAGGCCCACGGGCCAATTCCGGCCTGTGGAGTGCTTAGATCTGGCCCGAGGGCCACCCTGGAAACAAGGACTAGCCCATGTGCAGCCCTCCCAGGCTCCATTTTCAGCTGGGGCAGCCTCCTGCAGCCAGTGAAAATGGAGCATGAGCTGCCACAGGCACCCGTACACAAGTGACATCGAGCTGGCCATGCCCACCCTGGCCACACCCACCCCAAGGTCAAACGCAACCCTCATGCGGCCCTCAATGAAAGTGAGTTTGACACCCTTGCTCTAAACCAACGTTGGTTTTGTAGTCCTAGTTGTCCTAGGTTTTTGTCCTATTTCAGGAGACGAGGGAATCAGTGGGATGTAAGTGGTCTTTTTTCTTGTTTTTAGTGCTTTTTATCATGAATCACCCAGAGTCATTCGCTATCCGGTGGTATGTAGATTAATAAAATATATGAATAAACAATTCTGAAGTTTTCACATACACACCTGAAATATCAATGCAGAAGTAATATGCATTATTAACATTATAATTAAATAATATAAATATTATTTCCCATAAATTCATGGGATTTTTCAGCTATCTGTTTATATCAATTTGATAATGCCAGCAAGATTATTATATGCACAAAGATGAAATTCCCACAATGGAAGAATGAACTGTAAATGTGTCAGAACTAGCAGAAATAACAATACTGACATTTTAATCAGGCGGAAAACAATAAGTACTTTTTTAAAAGACTGGCACCTTTTTGTGGATTATTACTAAAAGAACAAACAATTAAATGATTTATGGATTTAATAATTGAAACAGATGAGAAATAAATAAAGGTTTAAAAGAATTTGTGGAAGAGTTAAGAGAGAGGAGAGATAATAGAATTGTTGATATCTATTGAAGTGAAGTTGCTTTTTTCTTTTCTTGCAATTCTTTCTTCTTCTTTCCTTGTTTTGATCTTTTTTGTCTTTACCTTTAGATTTGCTTTACATTTTACCTAATATTAATATAAATATATACATCAAAATATAAAAATATGTATTTATATACATTTAAAATATTTAAATCAATAAATGAGCTATATTCAAGGCATTTTCAATATTTTAGGAATAATTATTCCAATAATTATTATAACCCCTTTTTTAAAAAATTGTAGGTCTAATTGGAAGTATTGTGAGAAGTATGTCAAGCTAAATTGATTAGAGAAAAGAAAATATTGACTTTTACAGTGATTAAAAAAGTATATTGTTGCTGTAATACATTTGTGTGTCTTCCCAAATAGATTTCAGAAGAAAAGTGTATTCTGTGCATGTAATCAAAATTTACTTGAAAGGATATTGGATTTTACTTGAAATTACTTGGGATTTAGAATAAACGTATTGAAATCAATGTATCCCAAATAATGGGATAATTTTTAATGTCTTCTCTAAGCATAATTAATCTGCATTCAACCTATTTGATTGTGGCTTATTAGTCAAGAATTGATTTTCATTGGGCCTAATCTTATCTTCACTAACTGGAAGCTTCTTCCCAAGGTATAGAGACAGAGCAAGAGAGACAGATTTAAAAGACTTGTATGACCCCCCATCTTATTTGTTACAAGTTCAAGGGGCTCACAAAACAGTAATAAAAACCCAAAGAGTGAATCACCAGTTGGATCTAATTACATGCCATGTTCCTGGAAGCCTTGACCAACCACAAGGGGCAAGAGTCCAAAACACAGGTGGCAGAGCTCACAGCAGCAAGGACCCAATTCCTCAAATTCAACAATTCAAACTCTTCCCGCATGTTTTGGTCACTCACCAACTAGGGGTGACATGATAGCAGTGTTCCAATATTTCAGGGGCTGCCACAAAGAAGAGGAGTCAAGCTATTCTCCGAAGCATCTAAGGGTAGAACAAGAAGCAATAGGTGGAAACTAATCAAGGAAAGTAGCAACCTAGAACTAAGGAGAAATTTCCTGACAGAGTAATTAATCAGTGGAACAACTTACCTCCAGAAGTTGTGAATGCTCCAACGCTGGAAGTTTTTAAGAAGATATTGGCTATCCATTTGTCTGAAGTGGCGTAGGGTTTCCTGCCTAGGCAGGCAGGCGGTTGGACTACAAGACCTCCAAGGTCCCTTCCAACTCTGTTATTCTATTCTATTCTAATATTGCTTCATGTTTTGGCGCTCCTCAGTAAACCAAGGTGCTCTGCAACCAAAGAAAATCCATGCAGGCAAATTCCAGTTCAGGAGCCTTTCCACATGCTTGTTCCAAGCTGCAAAGTGTCCACTGAACCACATGTCAGAACGTGAGGGAAAATACCCAGTTGTCTTCAAAAAGCGAGGGGGGGATGCCAATTGAATAGGATATCTATAGTACATAATAAAATAGGGTGACAATATAATAATGTAGAGTAATGTAGTGTAACATAGTTTAGAAAAGTGTAAAGTATAATAAATACTCTTCCTAGACTTACTTACTTACTTACTTACTTACTTACTTACTTACTTACTTACTTACGTGAATCCCTAGTGCCACGTAATGGGATGACCTCCTGTTACTTGTCCCAGCTTCTGCCAACCTAGCAGTTTGAAAGCACGTAAAAAATGCAAGTAGAAAAATAGGAACCACCTTTGGTGGGAAGGTACTGTAACAGCGTTCCGTGCGCCTTTGGTGTTTAGTCATGCCGGCCACATAACCACAGAGACGTCTTCGGACAGCGCTGGCTCTTCAGCTTTGAAACAGAGATGAGCACAGCACCCTAGAGTCGAGAACGACTAACACATATGTGCAAGGGGAACCTTTACCTTTACCTTTAGCCTTACTAGTGGATTTTCTTGCACAGATTATCTGTATACAAACCGTGTGCTCTTTCACTGAGGTATGGACCATACACATTTGTCCTTCTTACATGAAGCCAAACAACTCCTGAGGAAATTGTTTTTTTCTTAACCACTGATCCCTACAATATTTTTATTGCCGTCATAGCTCTCTGCTTCCTCTTCAACTACTACTTCTGTAGTATTTAAAAGCTACGTTTATTTTGCTTTCAGATTAATTCTTAAAACCGTTTTATCTCCACTTGAATTGTCATTAATCAATTGTTTTGTTCTTCTGTCCTACAGCTGATCCAGACAGTAAGTGCAGTGGACCAAGATGACCCCCAAGAGGGGCAGCACTTCTACTACAGCTTGGCTCCAGAGACAGCAAATAACCCCAATTTTACTCTTAGGGACAATCAAGGTAATTGAACTAGGCATCAATTTGTTTGGCTAATTAATATCTTTGGAAGTAGGTTGAATTGCAGAAGCTCCATTTAAAACTGCTTCATGAGCCAGCCATTGCAAATAATAAATGATACCTGCTCCTTAAAAGCAGCCATGAAATAAATGTTTCATTTTGTTTTTTGGAAAATTACAAAGAATTTGCCTTGTATTTCTCAGGGCAGTGATACAGCCTTTTCTTTTGAGGAACAATAACAAAGTCGCTCAAATTAAATGGTTTTTATCGTTGTAGGTATTTTCAGTAATAAATTGATGATGAGACAGAGAGAAAGAGAGGTCCAAATGAATATTGTTTCATTTATTTTTCTTAATCCTGAGCTTTCTCTGAACTTTCCTCAAACACAGAAAAGGCCTATTATTTCAGATTTCCTTCCTTCAGTTGGTATGCAGATCCAAAGCAGAAAAGAGGCTTCAAAGAAAATGTGGGGAAATTTTCTGCATCTGGTAGTACCTCCTCCTTAATTAAGCCATTTTTTTATTTTTTGCTCTTGGCTTGCAAGGGAATTCTATACAGTGGTACCTCAGTACTCGTCATTAATTGATTCCGAGAGGCACAATGAGTAACAAACACAACGAGTACCAAACAAATTTTCCTATAAAGAATAATGTAGTACCTCACAAGGCAGCTGACATTAACAAGTTCTAGCTTGTACAATGAGTACAAACACAATGAATGCCAAACAAATTTTTCTATAAAGAATAATGTAGTACCTCACATTATTGAGTACCGTTGAGTACTGAACAAATGATGAATACTGGGACAAAATGTTCATATCAAAATGTGCTGAGTTTCAAAGCAGTTGAATACCAAGGTGCCACTGCAGTCCTAGGAAAATATGGATTTGAATTTAACAGGTACAAATAAAGTGAAACAAGGCCATTATAACTTGTCAACACCTCCTTTATTTCTTCTTAATTCAATTGCTATTTTCTTGGAATTACATAAATGCTGCATGAGCCAAGAAAAAGTTTCATCTTCTTTTAGAGAAGTCAACCAGGTTTAACAAATATACTCATGTCCCTTTCAAAAGTACCTTTTCAGTTCACTTCCATTGCCTTCTCTTTCTTTTGGAATTCCAGTTTTCCCCCACTTCTAATAGCAATTTTTTTTTTTGGCTTCTGAGCATGCTCAAGTTCCTTTTGCCTAGTTGTAGTTTCTACTTTTTTAATTATTATTATTATTTCCAAAAATATATTATGCAAACCAAGAGTTTTTCCTGAGCCTGGTGACACCTCCCCCTGTTCAGTGGATGATACACTTTTAACTCAATAAAACAGTTGAGGAAATGAATGAGCTATTAATGTAGAAAATGATATAAAAATAAGCAGCACTGTAGCATCACCTAATGGTGAACATTATTTCAACAGCTGAGAAGCAAGGAAAAAGTAAATTTTACAAAAAGGAGTTACTTGAAAATGTAGTAAAGTTTGCTTTGGGACACCTTACTCACAAAATCAGTTCCGTAGTTTGAAAGTTGAGTTGGCATATTGTTTCAATTTAATTTAAAAAAAAAAAAACTTTGCTTTATAAAATGGACTGATCGGTTTCCTAAATTTCTAATTTATCCACAACGGGCCTCAGCATGTAGTCAGGCAGTGATTATTCTGTGCGTGTTCAGGAAGACAAATGCACAAAAATTACAGATTCTTTTCAGCCTACTCAGTTCAACCTGGAAAGGGTTTGGTAAAGGACATTGTCAGGTTCTAAAAGAGAGACACATTATGGTTCTTCCAAAGAGATTTCTTTATTGTTCCTCTCCTAAAGACAAAATCTGGCCAAACTAAAGCATGCTACCACTTCCACAAATCATATACTCTGGTGACTCTTAGGAAAGAATCACCTCTTCACCTCTTTTTTCTCACACAAATTATCTGAACTGAGTTGTCTTTTGCTCCTCTGGAATGTACTGCCTGCCTCCTGGGAATCCATAATACATTCCATCACAACATATTCCCATGTGCACCAGTGGTGGGTTTCAAAAATTTTTACTACTGGTTCTATGGGTGTGGCTTGGTGGGCGTGGTGTGGCTTGGTGGGTGTGGCTTGGTGGGCCTGGCAGGGGAAGGATACTGTAAAATCTCCTTTCTCTCCCCACTCCAGGGGAAAGTTATTGCAAAATCCCCATTTCCTCCCGATCAGCTGGGACTCGGGAAGCAGAGAATAGATGGGGGCGGGCCCAGTCAGAAGTGGTATTTACCGGTTCTCCGAACTACTCAAAATTTCAGCTACCAGTTCTCCAGAACTGGTCAGAACCTGTGAAACCCACCTCTGATGTGCACCCACAATTAGAAGTTCACATTTAGCTAACTTGGACTTATCTCAAAAAGCCAAGCAAGGGTTATTGGAAAATTTTTCAACATGGTGCCAAGAACATTTCATAGATGTTCTCCACCAGGAATAAAGAAAGCCCTATTTTTTCTAGCTCTTTTTTTTCCTACATACCTAATAATTGTTCCATAACAACCTTACTCAAAATGGTGCAAATCAATGTCAGATAACAATAAAGACATATTTTACTAGTTTAGTTACATTTAAATGGCAAAACGGGAATTTTTAGAAAGGTATAGTTTTTCAAGAAATGAAGTGCCTTCTCACATCATCAGTCTACAGCAATGAAGTGCCCAGATTTATTATTTGGAAATTGTTGACAAGATTGCAAGATATTGCTTTGCTGGGATATATTTGTAACTCATATTTTCTTTCCTTAAACTTACAACTACTGATGAGCTTGAAAGAAGTCATCATTAAAAGATTTGTGATATAGGTTCATTTAATACTTGGGGCATTCTGCTGAAACAACATTCAGATATAAGACAGGAAGAAAGGGGGGAGATTTTCTCTTTTGCCTCTGTATTTCAGCATCTTAATTAGGAATGACAAGAGAGGTTTGTTGTCAAAAAGCAGTTTTCAGGCACATCATTTTTTATCAGGCAGAAGAATAAAAAGTTCTGGATCTCCCTGTTGGTGCTATTGCTTTCAACATTCTTTCATTATTTTTAACAGGGGTCTCAGAATGATGGATATTCATATTAAGAAGGGATATAGTTAGTAGTGGGTTTCAATTTAGTTTGCTACTGGATTGCTTGCGCGCCCGCAACACTTCTGCACAGAAGCGTCGGGTGGGTGGGCATAGCCTCCCGCCGCTGCCGCTACCCATTTGCCCAATTCGGGCGAACTGGTAGCAACCCACATCGGATATAGCTTAGAATAAAATAAGACATTAAAATGTATTACAACATAGTTATCACAGCTAAAGTTCAATCTACCATGTTGGTTTATGAATCTAAAGCTCCCCAAAACTTCCAAATAGTTTCACTTACAAGAAAAGAGCACAGGATATTTAAACTGAAATTCTGAAATTTAATGCACTATGGTGCCTTAGGTATCTCTATTTCATTGGTTCTTTCTCTCCTTTCTTCTCCTCCTTCCTTCCTTCCTTTTCACTCCCCGCCATCTTTTGATTTGCTCTTTTCGTTCAATTTTGCTATGTGCAACTATGTTCATTGTCTGAAATACAGGTGAAATAATATATCTAAGGTCACAAACAAAATCACCTGGCTAGCAGGAGGCCATATCAATTGAGCAAATAAATAAAAGTTTCACAAGCAACAATAATAGCATCCACAGCATGGATATGAACAAGCCAGCTTCCAAAGACAGAGAACCATGTGTCACTGAAAGTCTACAGTAACTCACACACAATTGCATATTCCAAAAGTAGTTACGTTGCACCTGTAGATAAAAGTAAACATAATACTGTAAGTTTACAAAACTAATCCAAAAATCAGTTTTGTAATACTGTAGGTATATTTGATATTTTAGCATTATAATTAAGTATTGGCTTTTCTTTCTTCCTTCTTTCTTTCCTTCTTTTTCTTTCTTCCTTTCTTTCTTTCCTTTCTCTTTCTCTTTCTCTTTCTCTTTAGACAACACAGCTTGGATTTTAACCAAGAGATCAGGATTTCGGCAACATGAGCAGAATACTTTTTATCTTCCCATCTTAATAGCTGATAATGGACGTCCTGTGCTAAGCAGCACTGGAACAGTAACCATTCATGTTTGCAGTTGTGATGAAAAGGGTCTTGTGATGTCCTGTAATGCAGAGGCCTACATACTCCCTGTCAGCCTGAGCAGAGGAGCTCTGATTGCCATTCTAGCTTGCATTTTTGTTTTGCTTGGTAGGTATACATACCAGTGATGGGATTCAATTTTTTTTACTACCGGTTCTGTGGGTGTGGCTTTGCTTGGTGGGCATGGCTTGGCAGGCTTGGCAGGGGAAGGATACTGTAAAATCTCCATTCCCTTCCCACTCCAAGGGAAGGTTACCTCAAAATCCCCATTTTTTCCCAAGGCAGAGAATAGATGGGGGCAGGGGGGGCAGTCAGAGGTGGTATTTACCAGTTCTCCGAACTACTCAAAATTTTCGCTACCAGTTCTCCAGAACTGGTCAGAACCTGCTGAATACCACCTCTGATACATACCATCTCACAAACAAATCTAATATTCTTCAGGCAAAATAAAGAAAGTGGCAAGATTTGTTGGGTTGTAATACTAATCACTGAAGTTAATCCTCGATTTACGACCACAATCAAGCCCAAAATTTAAGTGAGTTTTGCCCCATTTTACAACTTTTATTGCCACCGTTGTTAAGTGAATTGGTGCAATTGGCTCAGGACTTGGGTACTTGCGGGACCGCCTACTACCACCAATAGCCTCCCACCGGCCAGTACGCTCTCATAGAGAAGGGCTCCTCCGGGTGCCGTCAGCCAAACAATGTCTACTGGCAGCCCCCAGGGGGAGAGCCTTCTCTGTGGGGGCACCTACTATCTGGAATGAGCTCCCCCCGGAGATATGGAGGATCCCAGATCTGCGCACCTTCCGCCGTGCTCTAAAGACCTTTTTATTTCACCAGGCGGGCCTGGCCTAACTTTCTCCCTCTTTTTAAACAATTTTTAATATTTTTTAGTATTCTTAATATTCAAAGTTTAAATTTGTTTTAAATTGATTTGGGTTTTAATCTGTCTGGGCCAAACTATTTAATTCGATTTTATTTCTGCTTTTTAAATTTTGTATGTATGTATTTTATTGTTGGCTGTTCACCGCCCTGAGTCCTTCGGGAGTAGGGCGGTATATAAATCAAATAAAAGTAAAGTAAAGTAAAGTAAGTTGTTAACTTAGTAAGAAGGTTGTTAAGTGAATCTGGCTTCCCCATTGTCTTTGCTTGTCAGAAGGTCGCAAAAGGTGATCTCATGACCCCAGGACACTGCAACCGTCATAAATATGAGTCAGTTGCCAAGTACCTGAATTTTGATCATGTGATCATGGGGATGCTGTGGTGGTCATAATCGGTCCTAAGTCACTTCTTTTGGTGGTGTTGTAACTTTGAACGGTCACTAAATAAACTGTTGTAAGTCAAGGATTACTTCTATAGCAGTAGAAATTTTGAGGGGGGGAAAGTAGACTTTTTTGATTACCATTACGTATAAAATATTTCTTATTGATTTGTCTTGGGTGAAGAAAAATTGCTGTCTAAGTATTTCTATTTTGTTCATTACCTTTAGTTCTGGTGCTACTGATCTTATCCATGAAAAGACACCGGAAGCAGCCTTATATGCTTGATGAGGAAGAGAATATCCATGAGAACATTGTCCGATATGATGACGAAGGCGGAGGGGAAGAAGATACGGAAGCTTTTGACATTTCTGCCCTGTGGAATCCCAGAGAGGCCCAAGCATTCATGAAGAACCGACAAGACATGATGCCAGAAATTGAAAGCCTCTCAAGATACGTTCCTCAGGCCTGCACGATGGACAGCAGTGTTCACAGCTATGTATTGGCCAAACTCTACGAAGCAGACATGGACCTCTGGGCACCTCCCTTTGATTCTCTCCAGACCTATATGTTTGAGGGCAATGGCTCAGTGGCTGAATCGCTCAGTTCCTTACAGTCTGTAACTACGGACTCTGAACAGAGCTATGACTATCTGACAGACTGGGGACCACGCTTTAGGAAGCTGGCGGAAATGTATGGCGCCACAGAGGGGAGTGGGACTCTTTGGTAACTGAAAAGGCCAAGTACTTGATACTCAAATGCCGCCATCTAAACTTGTACTCGTCTGATATGAGACATTGGTGGAATGGCCTCCTACAATAAGCAATATGATGCTTGAGGGAGAATGCAGAAGAGTTTGAATAAATCAAAGCACTCTCTGGATCAGCTTTATGAAATTATTTTAAGCTACATTTTTAAACGATGATAAACAGGAGAGAAAGATAGGGGGGAAGAATTTCATGGGATTTTTTTTTTTTAATTTTCTTTCAAAGACGACACATGAACATTTGGTTCCGGATTAGAATGACATTATTATCTTGGTGATTTAAGACACAAGCACGCATTCACCTCCATGGACCACTTATTAACTTTTTTACATCTGCGTGTAAAAATTTATACATTTCAATTCACATGGAATTGTGTGTAGAAAGCCATCTCCAGTAGAGGATTTCTTCCTCTTTGTTTATAAAAGAAAGATTTGTCAAAGAATACAGGAAGACATTAATAAAACAGAAGATTTTTTTTTACCAGCAAGTCCTAATGAAGAGGCTAAAGAGCAAAAGGTTTGAGTGAAGTGGATGGGAGAATGACTGACCCATGTGTCATATGCATTATTACTAATATCAAATTAATGTATGAGGAGACTCTCTCCTCAGCTTTTAAAAACTACGATTCAAAATCAAACCATAAAAATAATGCCTCCTTTCTGCACTGTAGATACTTCTTCCACGTGCCAAATGCAAGAATCAGATGTTACCAGTAAAAGCCAAATAAAGTTTTAATTTCATATCTACATGATGTTAGAGGGCCTTTCCCAAACTAGTCAAGATCAAACTGAGGGAAGTTTACACTGTAGGTGACCTACTTGAACAAATGCAGTATTATAGAGGAATAAAAGGATGTAATAAATATTCCATATATAAGTTTTGTATATTTGTTAATAATTTTGGTAATAAATATCATGTACTGTATGCAGTACCTTAGAACTCTTTTAATAAAATTTAAATTGAAGGAAAAGGAATCTGCAAATGATCTTTTGTCTGTTATAGCTAAAGAGCCCCTTGACCGAAGCCATTTCAATCCTGATCCATGTTTGTTTCCAGCTTGGTTTTCCCAGACACATACTTCCAAAATTCCTATCCCTACTGCTACTTTGGCATACTGGCAACTGCAGTATCAGCATTATACAAAGTCACCCATGGTCTTAATATTCTGCTTCCCACAATTTCTAAACCAGTATCTGGTGAGACAAATAAATGCATCACTCAAAAAACAAAATACTTTTAAAAAAACATACACCTCATTGAGATTCCATGACCTTTTATCAGTGGTGGGTTCCTCCCGGTTCGGCCTGGTTCGGCCAAGCCGGTAGCGGTGACAATGTGATGTCACCGAATCGGTTCTCATTGTCTGGGAGCTGGGCCCTCCCTCCCGCCCGCCCCCGCTTTATTCCTATCTTTATTTCTTCTTTTTTAGCCCAGCTGATAGGTGCAGCAAAGTGGATTGCTGCACCTCAGCTGGGCAGATACCTAACGCGCTTGTGCAGAGCGCAAGTTTGGCGCACATGCAAGCGAAGCGAGCATGGACGCAGCGATCACGCACGAAGCGCGTGCACGAAGAGAACCGGTAGTAATGCCGGTTGGAACCCCCCACTGCCTTTTTTCAACAGCAATCTATATTTGAGGTGGACCTTCCATGGCTCCTACTTCTATTACATCCTATTTTGGGGTGAATTGTGTGAAGACATAGCTCAGTAGAGACGGCTCTAATGCAGGAAATTTGAAGGAAGAAAAGAAGAGGATGACCAGCAATAAGGTGGATACATTTAGTGATAGTGATGATGGAAGTCCTGAAAGACCAGGTTAAGGACAGATTTGCATGCAGAACATCTGTGTGGTTTCAAAGAGTTGTCAATGACTTGATGACACATTATCAATTCCATGCTGCTCTGAATTAATGTCATGTAAGGAACACATTCAATACTCTAAGGCAGCGGTCTCCAATCTTTCTGGCTGTGCAGACTGGCGGGGTGGTGGTGGAAAGGGGATGGTTCTGTGCGAGCGGTGGAAGAGCATGCGCGCACACTCACACAGCTCCATTTGTGCAAGCAGGAGACACATGTGCTTGCCGCTCACATAAATGGAGCTGTGCATGCATGCGCTCACCCACCCATACCATGCGTAAGTGGAGCTGTGTATACATGGACACTCGCCGACTACTTCTGTGGCCCCTTTCTGAACGGGCCACAGCCAAGTAATGGGCCACGGCCCAGGGACCCCTGCTCTAAGGCAACTGAATCAGGGATCTAGAACTGTGGATCACAATCCACTAGGGAAACTGGAGCAACTTAAAAGTAAGTTGCAAAATTTAATTCAACCTCTTCAGGGAATCCCTTCAAAATTCACTCCAATCTTTGCTCCCTGCCTGATATACCCAAGCCAGAGTGGGTTTGCTTGGCCAAAATTGGAGTGAGTCTTGGCAATGCTCTGAATTTACCTGCACAAGCCCACACCAAACAGAATTCAACAATAATATTTTCTTTTCCTATCAAAAGTGTTCATTTTTGTGTTTTAGTAAACCTCAAAGTTTATTACCTGAATATGATACCTGACGATTTTTAAAAACATGTAAATGAATTTATTTCAATTTTGTTTCAATTATATTCTATATTCTTACCAATTAAGAAACATTATTTTAAAAAAGAGAATAGGTGATGCTCCAAGTAACATCAACCTATAATTCAGCAGATATTTTAAAAAGTTTCATTTGAATTATTTGTATCTCAAACAGGGAGAGACAGAATATTTAAAATAGACTATATAAAGGGGTGGGGAATGATGGTCCTTTTATGACTTGTGGACTTCAACTCCCAGAATTAAATCTGGCTCAGGAATTATGAGAGTTGAAGTCCACAAGTCATAAAGGGGCCATCATTCCCCATCTCTGCTATTTATCAGCCTGAACTAAATTTCCAACTGCTCCCCAATGTTATTATTATTGGTACGTTTAGTGCTGTAATTTTAAAAAATAACAACAAAGTAAGCAAAGAGACCCAATGGAGCATTTCATTTTTCTGGAGTACAGATGGTCTTCGATTTATGACCACATTTCTCTTGCTAAGTGAGACCGTTGTTAAGTGAGTTTTGCCCCATTTCGTGAATCACTGCAGTTGATAAGTTAGTAATGCAGTTGTTAAGTGAATCTGTCTTCCCCATTGACTTTACTTGTCAGAAGGTCACCAAAGGTGATAACATGACCCTGGGACAGTGCAACCGTCACAAATATGAGCCAGTTGCCAAGTGTCTGAATTTTTATCACAATTCCATGGGGATGCTGCATTGGTCTTAACTGTGAAAAACAGTCTCCTACAATTTCATGTTGTTCCGAGTAGACTTCTTTAAGGAGGTTATCTATGGTTCACTCCAATTAGTTCTGTTCCCAGAACCTGGGGAAGAAGAGAAAAGTTGCACCCTACACAATCACAATTGAATACAATCACTATTCAAAACTGCATGGCAGTTACTGGTGTTTTCCATAAGGATCTTGCTTCAGTAGCTATTTTTGCTATACTAATAAGATTGAATAATTTTTTTTAAAAAGATTTCTTCCGCATCAAACATAGGACTGTTTAAGTCCTTAAGAAGCAAATCTCTCTGTACGGTCTCAATTTTTGGAGAATAGTTCAGAGCTAATTTCATTTTTTTTTTCTTATTTCTTTAATCCAACAGCATATATTTTTACAACTACTTCATGAAGTATGTCAAAATGAGAAATTACTGAGGGAGATTTATAATTTGATCCTAGGTTTATTTAAACTGTTCCCGGTTTACGTTCAAAATTAGATTCTTAAAGCAGGTTTATGATCCTAATTAACAGACTTAACAAACAATTCAAGTTTCATTTTGGGCCCAAAAAAATTCTGGATTTAAGCGATTTGAGTCATTCTTGGACAAAATGTGGCTATCAAATAATTACTGCTCCCTTCTGTGATCAACAGTTATTGCCCCACTTATCTAACTGAAAAAGTTTCTTAGTGAAACTTATAAGGCTTATGATCTTACTTCGGCTTTCTTTTTACAGACGGTCGTAAATTTAAGGATTGGTCAAAAAGTTACCTTTGCACCACTGTTTTAATTGCTAACACTTGCTAAACAAGGCAGTCACGAAACAGACAGTCACGAAACACGTCACGAAACCTACCCAAACATTAATTGTGCAGTAGGAGTACTTCAGCATCCCATGCCTGTAAGAGACACACTCTGTGGAAAAATGGGATACAGTCTTCTTTCTTGTGGTACATAAAAATACGCCATCTTTCAAGAACTGGTGAAGCTACTGCTTTTTATTCTCAAGTTCGTGACTTAGCATCTACAGCCTAACCAGATTCTTTGTCTTTTAACTGCTTCTTGTTTTAATTATTATTATTATCATCCTTGGTTTCCTCTTGGCCTTGGCTTATTTTATGTATTGAAACCTACCATGAGATTCATAAGAGTATGGAGAGGTGATAAACATCTTAAATAAATCAATGGACAAAATGGCTGGACCTTATTTTGGAATCACAGACTCCTATACAAAAGGTTGAGTTTGGGACCTTTTATAAATGCCTGAATTTTTATTTTTGCTGAAGTACATTGCCACCCAGTGGTAAAATCTTATACTTTCCCAAGAATATATATTTTTATAATTGTGTGCCTTAAGAGGTTTATGCCATAGTACCAGTGGTGGGATTCAAGTAATTTAACAACCGGTTCTCTGCCCTAATGATTTCTTCCAACAACCAGTTCATCAAACTGCTCAGAAAGTTAACAACCAGTTCTCCCGAAGTGGTGCGAACTGGCTGAATCCCACCACTGCATAGTACCCAGGAAGGATTGGAAAAGGAAACCCATCAGTGACATACTTTATCAAGACACAGCTTAATGAAACAGGAATGGTATAAAACATTGCTTTCCTATCACTGTTATAAACATTTGTACTGAATGATATGCCGAGTAATCCTATGCTTTTATGTTTATAACATTTTATATAATTTATAGTATTTAACTTGCAGATAGTAGGGACAGAACATTATTCCAATGGAGACATTCATTAATCATTGTGTTCTTCATTCTGATAGCCTTACATTCATTCTGTAGCATTTCTGCATCCATTTTGCTAATGAAACAAAAATGCCAATTTCTTTGTATTGCCACATTTTTTATTTTGCTTTCGTCTGTATTTGGCTGTATTTGCCCAAAAAATTTTCCAAACATTATTTCCTGAATATAAATTCCACATGTTTTCTCCCCTATATCTATATAGATGATTATAACCTTTTTGAGATGCAAGCTGCATTACAAAATTTTGGAAAAGATTATCTATCTTTCATTCCCCAAAGTCTATTCTTAATCACCAAATGGTATCTTTTCCAAATTTTGGAAAGCAGCTTGCATCACTTGGAAAAGATACCTTTTGGTGATTAAGAATAGATTTTGGGAATGAAAGATAGATAATATCGTCAATTAAATGAGATTAAACAAATAAGACCATTATGGGTGTCACATAATTTCCTACACACTGAGATGGATAAAAATATTGACTGCAATCAACTAACTTTAATATTGTGATTATTAACCTAGCTATCATAAAATTTGGATTCATTAGGATTCCATCCCAGAATTTAATCCAGATTTGTGACCATATGGAGAAAAATTGAGGCTAAAAAACAGATTTTCATAATGAATTGCAACTGTTTGTAGCGTATATGGGCTGTACTCAAAAAAGGAAGCAGAAAAAAATATTTACAGTAATTCCATTCAAATGAAATTAAAACTAAATGGAAATTCCAGAAGGTGGCAGCATCTACCTGACATTGGTTGAGCTCAAACACTAAATGGGGTTGACTCTGGTTAGTATTGGATGGAGAACGTTCCGGTGCCTATGGACACAACTGGGGAGTTATCAATATCCTGCAAAAAGACATGATAAACCACTCCTTTTGCCAACAAAAATTATATCTGTATTAGCATGCAG